AACATTAACCTAACCTAACATTAACCTAACCTAACATTAACCTAACCTAACATTAACCTAACCTAACATTAACCTAACCTAACATTAACCTAACCTAACATTAACCTAACCTAACCTAACCTAACCTAACATTAACCTAACCTAACCTAACCTAACCTAACATTAACCTAACCTAACCTAACCTAACCTAACATTAAGCTAACCTAACCTAACCTAACATTAACCTAACCTAACCTAACATTAACCTAACCTAACCTAACCTAACATTAACCTAACCTAACCTAACATTAACCTAACCTAACCTAACCTAACATTAACCTAACCTAACCTAACCTAACCTAACCTAACCTAACATTAACCTAACGTAACCTAAACTAATATTAACCTAACCTAACCTAACATTAACCTAACCTAACCTAACCTAACATTAACATTAACCTAACCTAACATTAACCTAACCTAACCTAACCTAACATTAACCTAACCTAACCTAACCTAACCTAACCTAACCTAACCTAACCTAACCTAACCTAACCTAACCTAACATTAACCTAACCTAGCCTAACCTAACCTAACCTAACATTAACCTAACCTAACCTAACCTAACCTAACCCAACATTAACCTAACATTAACCTAACATTAATCTAACCTAAACTAACCTAGTCAGAAAATTCCATCCTAACTGTGGAATCCCTTCCATGTGAGTGTGTGTTAGCTCAGTGAATGAAACCAGATCAGAAGTGATTAAATCAGGGAGGTCACAGTTACCTAAACAAACATTAATAGTTAGAAGTCTGTCAGTGTTCCAGATAATCATCTGTTATTTGTTGTGACAGAAGCTGAGCTTCATTCTGAGCTCTTCCTGAGTGCTAACAGATCACACAAGCTCATAAAACTTCATTATTTTACAGGGTATTACTGAAGAGAAATGTTTAAATTCATGTTATTCTTTTTTATTCCTTCAGTTTTTTCTATTTAATTTCTTTTTCTTCTAAGTTTGTTTAATGAAATGAGTAAGGAGTTGTTGTTGTCCTGTAGGGCTCGTCGGAGGGAGGAGGAGGAGGAGGAGGAGGAGGAGGAGAGCAGGCCAGTCGAGGGAAGATTGTCCTCCTGAAGAAGAAGCTTGAAGATGTTGAACAGCAGCTTGCTCACAGAAACATGGAGCTGGACAACATGGTGAGGACTGTCCACCTTCACTATTTACAGCAGGTTCTTCAGTTTGTAGTCCACAGTGGGTCTGACCAGTCTCTGCTCCACCTGTTGTTAACGGGACCAAACCATCTGAGCACATTACCTGGTGTTACATTCCCTTCACTGGCTGCATGTTGCTTTTAGGATTGTTTTTAAAGTTTTACGTTTGGATTTGAAATGTTTCAATGGTCTGGCTCCTGTGTTTGTGGGGACACTGTCTGCTCTGTGGTACAGACTTCTGATGACTCCTAACTTGTGTTCCTTAGGTTTAGTTTTGGCTACGAATGACAACAGAAACATATTGGATAAAAAATATGTGATGAAACACTTTCCTTTGTAAAATTATAAAACAAGATGACTCAGTATAAATTTACCAACAGGTCCTCCTCAGTGTGGGCAGATTTGAAAGGCTTCTGGAACATGTAGGTTTATTTTAAGCACCTTTCTTCCTTCTGTCAGAGGACAGAGCTGGAGCGTCAGCGACACCGAGGCGAGGAAATGGACACCATGCTGACAGAGAAGGACAAGAGGCTGGCAGAAAAAGAGGCTTACATCGTCCACCTGCAAACAGGACTGGCTGGAGATCAACCAGCCACACCTGCAGCACAACAACAGGTGTGTCAGTCTGCTTCCCACATCAGGACAGTCACACAAAGTGAAGACATCTGTAGTTAGTTCCTGAAACATTTAGTCTGTTTGCACCATAATGCTGAGCGCTCCTCTTCAGGTGGCCGGGGGGGAGGTGCAGGATTTACATGTGCTGCTGCAGAGTCTGACCAAGAAAGTGGAAGAAGCAGAAGAACGGTCCAGTTTGCTGCAGGAGCAGAGGAGCAGCCTCACAGATCTGCTGAGCTCAGAGAGGGAGCAGTACAACCAGAAGGAGAGCATGTACAAGCAGAACGTAGGCTCTCAGCTCACCTCTCCTCACACAGACCTGCCTCTGCTGGAGCTCTGACACTCATGATCTGTCTTTAGATCCAGACCTTTAAAGACATCCTCCTTCAGAAGGACCAGCAGCTGATGGAGGTCAACCAGAGGCACGAACAGGAGCTCTTCAGGCTTGCAGCTAAGTCCGACGCCAGTGCAGACCTGGAGCAGGTGAGGACAGCTTTCTACACAGGAAGCTGCAGCGAGCCCACACATTTATAAACATCTCCTCCTCCTCCTCAGCTGCTGAAGACACTAAAGCAGAAACTCCACGAGAAGGAGGAGGTGCTGCTGGGTAAAGCACAGGTTATTGATGTCCTGCAGGGGGAGGTGGACAGCAGGGACCAGCAGATAAAGGTCAGACTTTCTCAACACTTTCATTAACACACGGCTCTGTTGCTTTAATCCATGTTAAACTACATTAA